GGGTGCATCCCTGCCTCCCCGAACCACAGCGCTTCTTCCCAACGGACTGTGGCATTTTGTACCTTCTGTCCCCACGCGCTGCTGCGCGCTCCTGCTCTACCCCACCCCAGAAGTGGCTGCATTTGGGCCGAAAGTTGCTGTGCGAATGCACTGCCTGCTTGCAAATCCAAAAATGTAAAAGGTCTCTAGAGGGACAGATCATCTGCATTTCCTTCAGCTTCTCCTTTATTGTTTTGGTTATTGTTTCACTTGTGGATTATTGATAGGGTTTCGTTGAATCGGGTCGAATTCACCCCCTCGCCTTTCATTTCCACCCGCGCGCGTCTTTGGGGATGTCTGCTTCTCATCAAAGAAACGCCACTTGCACCCACCCCCAAATACCAGCTGGCTGGAAGACGCCAACCTGCATGGCCGTGTCTGCCCGGTACAAATCTCCCCGACCAACACATTGGGCGTGTGGGGGAAGGGGGTGGGTAAAGGAGAGGCCAGGCCTGGAGGTAAAGGCACCAGCAGAGCAGCTGGGATCAAGGCAGAGACCAGCCCGAGCCCGTCCGAGCTGGGACAGCGATCCCAGCCGGCTCTTCCCAGGGGGGTTTCTTGCTTCCTTTCACTCGTTTGGCTTTTAGTGCTGCAGGGGATGTGAAAACCAGCTCTCCTCCCTTAACCTGCTGGGGTTTCCTGTTAAGTAGCAAGCATGCAGCTCTGACTCACACAGAAACCCTGGGTGGGAAACCCTGGGGCTGAGGGGGTGCCCCCAGACCGGGCAAGACCAAGACCGGAGCTGCCCAGGCTGGCAAACGTGGCGGGGAAAGCAACCCATTCCCGATACGGCAATGCCCCCCATGCATGCCAATGAGCATCTGGGCTGGGGCAGGTGCAGGACTTGAGAAAGTCCAGCCGGGTGCAGGCGACGGAGCAGGCAGGAGGATGCCGGAGGTGCAGCCGCAGAGGATTTTCCTCACTGGCCCAAAAATAACTCTGCCTCTGCACGCTCCGAGCCACGCAGCTTTAGCCAGCCCTGCTCCCCCTTCGGGCGGCAGAGGACACGTCTGGCTCTCGGTGCCCCCACCCTGCACGTGCCCCCGGCCCCCAGCTAGCAACGGCGCTGCCACCACTAAAAATAGCAGTGGGAAGAGCTGTGCGTGCCACGGGGTTATGTGACAAGCATCCTTCTCTCCAGCACGAGACCGGGGCCTCGAGAGCTCAGCACCATCAGCGTGCAGAGACCCAGGGAGCTGGATTAGATGCAACCTCCCAAGTCCCTTCCAGCCCAGCTTGGCGAGGAGGGGGGCTGTAGGCCACCAGACTGGCGGGGCCAGGGCCCATCTGCCCAGCACCCAGCATGGTGGATCCCCAAGCTATCACCCAGCCTGGGCAGGAGGAGCTCCATGTAAATCAGCCCGTCTGGTTTCTTGCAAACGAACCCAATGAGCTCTCCGCTCTCTTGCAAATGGCGCCAGCCGGAAGATGGGGCAGCCCCCGCCAGAGGCTGACACATGCAGACAGACGCGTGCAAGGCCCAAAGCGGGGCCCAGGCAGCACGTCGGGCAAGAGGGACCATCCCCAGATGCACCAAGGGCTGGGCTGAGCGGGGCAAAGCCTGCAGCTGCCTCTGCAAAGGGATGGGGGGGACGACGACGAGGGGCAGCTCTGCTAGCCCCAGCCCCGAGGAGAAACGCAGGGAGCGGTCAATCCCAGGCCACGTCCCACGTGCACCGTGACACGAGCAACCCACCAGTGTCCCCGCACACCCCGACTCCCCCATGTCCCGGCATCCAGCTGGGCCGTGGGAACTCCCCGGCATGCAGCGCTAGGGGAGCCCCCTGCACTCGGAGACCTCGCTGACACCGCTGGCATGTGAACCGGCACCTTCCTGCCCCTCACAAAGCTAGTCCTGTGAGCAGAGGCCTCCATGGAGGCCCACCCTTTTGCAACCCCATAGAGCCTCTGCAACCTCCCCAGGGTGCCCAGCCACCCTCCTTCAAAGCAGAGGTGCCGCGGGGACAAAGGGCTCGGTGCTTCGGCCTCTCCGTCCCTGGCTCTCGCTTGCAGTCGATGTGAAGGCAAAGGGCAGCGGGGAGCAGGGGGGGCCACGATGCAGGGAAACACTGTCCATGCCAGCTGCCGGAGCGACACGCTGCACAGGTGCTAGCCGGGGACGCGCCATCTGCGGGGCCAGCTTGGGCGGCTGTATTTTTAGGACAGGTTTCCTCCCTGCCTCCCACCTGCAGCACTTCGGTTTGCTCTCGAGCAAGCCTCTCCCGCTTGCTAGAGGAAGGCGGGCCGGGAGCAGCTGCAAGGCCACGGAGCCCCTTGGCGGGATGCACGCGGAGCAGCCCTCGAGCCGTGGGAGGAAGGATTCCCCTCCCTCGCCCCCGGATGCACCAGGCCTCCGCTGCATGCACGGCCACGGCATCACGGCGCTGGGCTGGGGTGCCCAGGGCAGGGTGGGACGCTTGGCCGAGCTGCCAGCAGGAAGCTGGAGCGGGTCAGAGATCACCGAGCAGCTCTCCGGCACCGAGCCCACCTGGCACATGGTGCCAGCCCAGGAGGGAGAGCTAGCCTAGCCAGGCTCTGGGCACGGAGGGATGGTCCTGCTCCCGGACGCAGCCTCCCCTCTCCCCACCCTGAGAAAGCGGGAAGTGAGCCCGCGTGTGGGCCAGGCGAGAGCTACCGTGCTGGCCCCTCGTGGCGTGGGGAAGTGAAGCCAGCGAAGGGGGAAGTTGTTGGAAAGTCAGACCGGAATGGCTGAGAGGGAAGGCAGCGCTGGGCTTGGTCACAGATGGTTCCTGTTGGGGGAAGAGCAAGGGCGCAGCTGCCTGGTCCCACGACATTATCGCCACCATGCAGCTGCTCGCCTTTCCCTCTCCCCCTGGGACGCGGCTCCCCTTCCACCACATCCCTGCCCGTCACATGAGCACCCACAACGCCTTGCAAGGCGCGCGCCGGGGCAGCCAGCGGGACGGCACGGCGGCCCGGGGCAGGCAATAAGGACCAGTAGCGGCTACCAGCATCTTGAGCCAGCGCGGCGGTTCCCCAGCGGACAGTGCCTCTGGGGCTGGGGGTGTCGGGGAGGAACACGGGCCGCCCCCTTCCCCATCGCTCAGGGAGCCGGGGGAACGGCACCGACTTTGCCCGAGAGCTCGTGTCTGGAGAGACCCTGTCCCGTCTCCTGCGGGGTCTGGCAGAGGGGAGCATTTCTGGAGCCTGCCAGCAGCTCCTCGGTCTGCAATGGCCGGAGGATCCTCCAAGCTGGAGAGCCACCCGTCTTCATGTGCAGGCCACGCTGCCAGGAGAAGCGGCCGAGGTAAGAGCACGAGGTCGCGTCTCACCCTGCCCCGCAGGTGGCAATTACAGCTGCGCACTTCCCCCCCGCCAGCCCGCGGCTCCACTTGCATGCACGGGGCTGCACCGGTGACTCACACCTGATAAACAGGAGGGCAGCGCCGGGGACCAGGCCAGTGCCAGCCCGGCAGGTGCTATCCGACGGGGAAGCTGGGGTGGCAGGCGTGCCCCAGGAGCCCGGGGAAAAGCCTGGCAGCAGGTGGGAGATGCACTTGTTGTCCAAGGGCAGGGACCCTGCAGAGCTGCTGTGAGCAAACAAGAGGTGGGGGAAGCCGAGGAGCTCCTGGACGGGGCTGTGCAAGGAGCCAGGCACAGAGAGGTAGGACGCAGGGTAGGAGGGCGCATGGAGTCAGCAGCATCCGCTTGGCAATTAACCTTTGCGTAATGACTCATCAGGCTCCGCTGTGTTTTATTTACAGGCTTGAAAGCCTCTATTTACCCCGCGCTTTTCTTAATTGCTGCATCCCTGGTTCCCGCGTCCTTCGCGCTCAGCCAGGACTGTCTGCACAGCTCGGGGAGGGCAGGTCCCGAGTGCGGTTTCCCCACATGCTCTGCAGGCTTCCTCTGCATTTAGGCCAGCGTAGCTAAAATCAGGACCTGGCCCCCCCGGGGCAGGCTCAGGGCTCTTGTGTGCAAAAATGAGCTGTTTATGAACCAGCCTCTGGGTGAGAGGTGCTGAAGCAGACACACCTGGGCTCAGTATTGTGCCTTCTTGCTAGCTGAAGCTCTGCTGCAGGTATGTGGAGAGCCCCTGGGGCCCAGGAAAATGGGCAGAGGCAGGGGCTGGGAGAAAGAAGTGCCCAACCCAAGGGGCAAAGGACACGTAGCTACTCACAGAGATGCGTAGATGGGCTCTGGAAGGGAGTATGGTGCAATACAGAGCACCCGAGGGTGCTGGGTCCCCCACGCGCAAGCAGGAGGAGGGTGCCGAGCACCGAGGCACGCCACTGCTCCAGTGCACGTGGCAGCCGCAGGCGCAGCTGTCTCCATTGCAAGAGATGCTAAGGGGTGGGGGCCAGCTGGGCCCCCATGTCACCACCTGGCATCAGGGCAGTGGAGGCCAGCACCCCCAGCACGTGGAGCACTGAGCGCAGCGCCTTCCCCACTTGTGCTGCCCAGGCCTGCCCACACACGGGCACTCAGGCCCAGGGCAGCGGGGTAACAAGCCGCAGCACTTTGCACCTCCACAGCACCATGCCACGCTCGGAGCCAGGGACCAAAGCTTCCAGCACATTAAACCCAGCTGCCGGGCTGACCCAGAGAAGTCCTGCCACAGGGCAGCCCCCTGCCAGAGTCAGGGCTGTATCCCCCCTACCATGAGCACTGGCTTTACCTGACCCCAGGGCTGGGCCACACCAGTAGCAGCCCATTTGGGTGCTGCATTTTGCAGCAGAGAGCTACCAAATGTTTTTGCACACAGCCTCGCCGCTGCAGGTGGGCATTGCTAGAGGCATGGAGGACACCAGGAGGACCCACCTAGTCACAGCCCCGGGCTCCAGACAGTCCTGGCAAGAGTTACCCAGCTCTCAGCAAGCACCGTCCAGGCCTGTAACCAGGGGCATGTGTCAGGATCATTTATGGGCTTGGAAATCTTGTTTCCAAGCTTCCTTCCCATCCAGAACTCCAAAACCGTACACCCCCTCAGCCCGACCTACCTGCACAGCTGACCAACAGGCATCAGCAGCCTCATGTGTGGCAGGGCATCCTCCTGCGCAGGAAGGAGAGCAGAGGGAAGTTACCCCAGCTGGTTTCTGATGTGCCCTGGGCACGTGGGTGCCAGATAGCTTAGAGGAAGGGGTGTATTTAGGGACAAACCCACACCCACAGCTGGCACCCAGGGGCAGGGCTGGTACGTGGCCCCCAGAGCTGCCCGGGCACAGCCTGCCTTGGAGCAAGCAGCACCCAGGAGCAGAGCACACCTGCAAGGCCCCCTCTCCCCCCAGCTTGCTCTCGGGATCTCCCAGCAGCCGGGCTCCACCGGAGCAGCTCAGAGGCTGAATGAGCCTTTGGCATTTCCCAGCAGAGGAGAAGAGAGACCCGCAGCTCTACTCACCCCCGCGCTCCGGGTTGCACGCTCTGCACAGCCGGCACTCAGCCCACAGACTCCACCAGGAGCCTCAGCACAGGGAGGCAGCTCTTTAGAGAGTCCCGGGGGTGCTTCAGAGGCCCCCAGCCCCGCTCAGGGAGGAGTTAATCCCCGCCAGCTGGGAGCCCATTGCCCTGCTGGCCTGCTTCCTGCCCCCCTGGGGTGAGTGATGCCCTGTCAGGGCTCCTAGCTCCAGGGCTTGCTTTGTGCTTCGGGACCGTGGGCAGACCCAGGGCACTGGACTCGGCGTCTTTCCGGCCCGTGTTCCTGCTCCCGTTCTTCGATGGGGTTGACTGTGCGAACTGCCCGCCTGCCCCCCGACCCGACGCGTGCCCGTCTGTGGGTGTTTCTCAGCTGGGGTTTCCACGGGGGCTCCCCTGCGCAGAACTGAAGCTGGCGTGTGCTCCTGCCGGCCTTGCGGCAGCCGTGGGGTGCGAGGGGGGATGTGAAAGCAGAGAGAGAGCAGTTCCCATTTCACTGAAGAGGAAGGGAAGAGCCGTGGTCAGCGCTCTAGCCTGGGAAACCAGGGACTCGGGTTTGTCTCTTCCACACGCTTCCAGGATGACTGCAGTCTGGTGCCTGAGGCCGCCTGTGCCTCGGTTGTCCCACCTGTAAAATGGGGCAATTGCATTAAAGAGGACCGAGCACTCAGGGCCTCAAGATAGGAGCTTTGGACAGCGGTAGCAGGACCAGAGGCTGTGAACTTGGCTGAAAGCCAGGGAGGGGGGATGCAGCCCAGGCCCCTCTGCCGTTGCCCGCCTGCCCACCCCAACGCCCCGCGGCACCGTGCACACACGATAAGAGGGCCCGGGGGCTCCGTTACGAGCAGGCACGGCTGGGCGGCTGCTGGCTGGAAGGGCGAGGAAGATGCCGGTAAGGTGCCGCTGGCAGGAGCCGTGTTTGTGTTCTTGGCTGAGTATCTCTGCAAACTTCCTGATTCCCTCACGGCCGGTGCGGGAGCGATAATACCGCCTGGGCCCGTCGTTGCCTCCCCTCGGCGCTGGCTTCGGCGCTGCAAGCTGTTATCTCGGCTCAGCACCGGGCGGGGGGAAGGGAAATGGAATAAAGCAGAGGTGGCAAGCTTCCTCCTCGCCGCGCAGAGCCGGCTCCGCTCTCTCGCCAGCAACATCCCCTGCTTCCAGCCACGTACCTCTTCCTGGAGGGGAATGGCAATCCCTATCCGGTACCGCCGGGCGAGGATGGGGCAGAAAACAAAACCTCCTTGCTTATGCTTTGGGGAACGGCCCTGTAGCCCCCGGCCTTTCACGGACTCCGCTCCATTGCGGGGGTGAGGTTAAACCCTAGTGTGGACAAGACCGCGCCGTGCAAGCCTCCTCCTGCAGATGCTGATGGCCCCGGAGCCCTGCCTACATGAGAGCTCCCAGGGTCAGAGCTCTTCCCTCCTTACCGCAGCCGCTCTTGCTACCTGCCCCCTGCTCCACCCCTTACCCATCTGCATGGCATCAAGCCGCGTCCTCCTCCTTCACACCTCCCGGGTGCCATAGAGCATGCCAGAGAAACCGTCTATCGGGGCCCGTTGCGCAGCACCCCTCGTACCCAGGAGGAGTCACTGCAGGGACAATCCGGCTCAGCCTTGGCGGGCGTGGCATGGCCTCGGCGAGGACCGTACCGACACGGTCCCATCAGCAAGTAGGGGCCGAAGCGTGCTTTGTGCAAGCAGATTCGGGCGAGAGGGATGCTGCTGAGCACATGCAAGTGGCGGCTCCTAGCCGCCTGCCTGGGCCCCGTCTGGATGGAGTGGCGAGCCGGGAGAGCTGATAACGGGTAGGGGGGGCCGGCTAGAATGGCTTTGACCTTCCAGAATAATGCAGCCCCAGCAGACACCCCGCTGGGGAAGCTCCAGCCAGCACCAACCGGCAAAGCTGGGAGTGACTGAAAACAGGATTCGGTCCTGGAAACGACTGGTAGTGCCGGATGCTGCACGCCAGGCTCACGGCTCAGGCTTTGCCTTAAACTAAAACCGCTCGTTCCTGAAGCAATCCCTGTTTTCACACGAGAGACGGAGTGCACTGAAGGAGCCAGGGCTAGGGAAGTTGCCCCCCGTCCAGCCCTGCCTGGGCGCTGGGGGAGATGAGTTGGTGGGTCTCAGACCCCGGTTTGCTCCCTGCAGCTGCAGCCTGGTGCACCGCCGGCTGCAGGAGCCGGTGGCTCTGATGCCTGCGCGGTGGGGAGAGGACCAGCTGGAGCACTCCGTTATCTCTACGCCCAGGCCTCTCTCTCGCAGCGTAATCTCTGCTGTGCCCGCGCTGGCGCTCTTCCAGCAGGCGTTGGAGGGCTGCCCGGCGCTTAACTGACCCACCTTGAGTCTTGCCGGTCACCTTGGGAGCGTGCCATAAACTTCAGTGAGAGCATTAAGGGCAGGGGGGAAGCAGAGCAGTGGGGATGGGGGATGCCCCAGCCCCTATAGTGGATGGAGGAGAAGGCTGTGAAGCCAGGGATCCCCTAGTCACAGCATCCGGGGAAGCAATGCCGCCGCGCAGGTAGCTGCATGGACGCGTTTTCCCAGCAGGCGTGGTGGAAAGGGGTCTGCAGGGCAGTGGGCAGGGTGGACCCAGACACGTGGCTGGCCAGCTTACGCTTGCACAGTTCATCCGTGTCGGAGCCTGGGCCGGGACAGATCCCAGCAGAGCCCCACGCGAGTGCAACTGCTGCATGCACCGGGGCGGGGAGAGTCTGATGGGCGGTGGGTAGCCGTGTGGTCTTCTCAGGAGCCCCGGAGCAGCTGGCGCCAGGGCACGGGCTCAGGGCTGGGATGACCGTACTGAAATGGCTTGTTTAGTTTCCTGCCAGGTTTTGCTTGAGAAGCCCAGCCGAGGCAATTGCTCCCACGTCGTCCAGCTTGTCCTTGCAGGCGGCTCCTTTTCCAGAAGCCCCATAAATAACCGGGGGCTGCCACCGGGGCAGGGGCCGGCTAGGCGGGGGCGGGAGAGCTCCCTGCCCGTTCGGCGGGCATGCAGGCCGGCTGATAAAGCTGTCTCTAAGGCTGCGTGTGACAGAGCTGCAGCCGGCCATGCTGGATTGACTCCTGTTAACTCGCATTGATTTTCTGCAAGGACCAGAGGTGTTGGAAGTGCAAGGCAAGCTAATTAAATTCCCATCATTAAAGAGCCTTATGCAGCCAGTTCCACCCTGTCAAATCCCAGCGCTGGCGAGCAGCCGGTGATGGGGGCTTGCAATTTGGCCAAGCAGAAGGAAAAAAAAAAGGGGGGGGGGGGGAGGGTTAACCCTTCTGCTGCCTAGTTGCACAAGCACCCTGCAGGGAAGCTGTGCAGGGTCCTCACGCCCTGAGTGAATCTGCAAGCAAGTCCCAGTGACCTGAACCCATCCTTGGAGCGGGGTCCTAATCATCATGGCCTGACCAGACTGTGCTACTGGTGCAGTATCAGGCAGGATGTGACTGGTTGGAGCTGTACCAGCACATTTCACCCCAGGATAACCGGAGGCACGCTGGGCAGGGCAATGCAGGCTTGTGCTGTTTGAGGGCCATTTCTGGAGCCAGAAAGGGGCCTGGTGGTGAGGGAGAGTCCTGGGAAAGGTGAAACACGTCTCGTTTGCAAACCCCGTGGATTGTGTTCAAGCTTTCCAACCAGCCCCACACTGGCAAGGGGCTGGCCAGGGACAGCTCAGCGCCAGAGGGAGTATTTCAGTGAGCTCAATGAGAAGTCAAGGGGCTTAGAATGGAAACTCTCCGGCAGCCCCAGGATGAACAGCAGTTCACTGTTTGATCGCAAGCTGCCGGGTATTGGAGGTTCTCCTCTATAGCCCCAGCTCCCGGAGTCCCGTGATCACGTGCAAATCTCAGCATTAAACAAATGAGTTCCTAGCCCGCCCGAGACCAGACGGCAGGTGGGAAGCGGGGCCTCTCTGCAGTCTCAGAAGCCAGGGGAGACCCCAGATGTCAAGTCTAGGGATTTTCTGAGGCCTGCCCCACCGCTCTGGACCCCTCGGAGTGGGTGCAACGGCTCGGATAACTGCACGCATCCTGTCTACGCCGCAGAGCGGGCACAAATCTGTCTGTTCAGGAAGGCATCTTATTTTTAACTGCTCGCTTGCAGCTCTGGCAGAGCTGCAGCCCCCTTGGAGAGCTCACGCCAGCGAGGATGGAGCCCACGCCTAGCCCTGCACCCATGCACGAGAACGGCCTCGCTGGCGGGGTGATGCTGTGAGGCGAAAGGGAAGATGTAAGCCCTGGCG